GAGGTTTTAAGGGATGGGAAGACCAACCTGAAATTGACTTCGGGTTGGGTTAGGGTTGAAGGAATTTAGTTAAGGTTAGGGTTGGGTTGGTGAGGTTAAAGGCCGAGTTGGATTAGGGTTAGGGTTGGGGTTTAGAATTTAGGGTTAATTTAGGATTGGCCTCAACCCGACCTAACCCAACCCAACTTGCAGCTCTATATAGAATGGATCCATGGTTCGACCATGCTGATCTAGTCAATGGTTTTTGACAAAGAAACGGTTTAAATGAATTGACATGTCCCTAACAGCCTAGGCTCAAGCCCTGTAACAGCCAAGAATTTTTTATAGGAATTTATGGGAAGATCGCTTAATAGAGGAGAAGTACATAGAAACTGGTTTGAATTGCTTCTCACGTCCCCTATCATCCACAAACCTCTCACCACGTCGTCACCTTGGCAATACAGAGATTTCATTCTGAATTTCAATGGTTTTGAATATATATTTTTTTTTAATTTTTTACTTTTTAAGTTGGAATGAGCTATCTATTTGAACGGGATGATCGAACCATCAACCTAAAAACCAGTGGCTAGAATAGCTCTGATTCCGAGTAAATTTTTAAAAACCTTGGTTTTGGGTTTACAGTTGTCCAATCTCCTCTAAGATGGAACATGTACTGAGATTCGTGCCGTTTTGAAAGGTCTTAAAATTGCAAAAGCCCAGCAGATCACTTTTTGTGCAAGAAATGTCAAGTGGGCTTCTATTCACTACCTAGCCCTTTGGAAGCTCATTCATTCTTTTGCTGAAGATAGATGAATTAATCTCTAATATAGGTGCAACTTGGGTGGGTTTAGGTTGGGTTTTTGTCAAAATTTTAATGAGCCCATCCCGAATAAAAAGCAACTGGGTGGGCTCAGGCTTTGTATTTGTTCTTTTCTTTTTTTTTTAAAGGTTTGTGGTACATCTTATCATGTACATAGGATGTATTTGATTTGAAGAAGAGGTAGGGAAATGTAGGTTAATGCAAACATATATAATTAGGTTAGTTTCGTTCATGTTTATTGGGTTTGTCCTACATATTGACAGCCCTATGAATTTCGAGAAACAAAAAAAAAGCTATGAAATAGGTTGATGATATAAGGGAAAAACCTATGTAATAAAATTAATAGAAATATATATTTATTATATTTTGTTGAATACTTATACCACTTCTTGGGTTTAAACAAAACATATTTTTGCTAATGCGGCATTTGTTTTTAGTTTCAAAAACAAAATCATACACATTTACAAACACACCCTTGGTAACTTATGGTTATACCCCCTTACACTGGAATAGTAGGTTGGTTACATGACAAAGTAATAATTCGTTTAATTAAATAACTTTAGCAACTTCCAAACAGTCCTTTAGTATTTGATGAAGAGCTGTAAGTTCTTATTGGTCATTAATCATTCAAGCCCTGTCCGAACTATATGGGATTGGTTACATGAATCCTATTGGCCACATCCATTTCTTATTATTTCCATTCAAATTCTTTTCTACCTGCCCTTGATTCTTTTATCTCTTCGATGTATAATAGATCATTTTAACTAACAGAACACTTTTATGAGATCATTTTAACTAATAGAACACTTTTATGCATGGTTTTCGAAACCGGGAATCAGTCAGGTGACTGATTTCATTTTACCTCARAAATTGTTATTTTGCCAAAAACCGTTGATTTGGTCAATAAACTGCTGATTTGGATGGTCAAACCATTCAAATCGTCCAATGGTTTTGATTGTTATTTATTTATTTATTTATTTTTATCTGTTTATCAGAATGAGCCATCCATTCAGTTCGAATGATCAGACCATTCAACCCAACAACTGGACCCATGACCAGTTCGTTGTCCRGTTCTATTTTAAAAAACTTTGCTTTTATGATATCATTTTAGCCCAACACAACTAAAATCTTTTTTTTAGTCCCAAACATCGATATATGGGTCACATGGGAGGTAATGGGGCCCAATACCCTTCTAATTGTCTTCTCCTCTGTCTCCCAAGATACCAAAGCACCTTAATCTAGGACTCTAGGCCTGCCAAGACGATGGTTCCAACCTATCCTTATACAGTTCCACTTACATCTTTTAAATCATCATGTAAGTCCCATCAAATGCACTTGAAGCCACCAAGAATAGTATCAATGACATTATTCAAACATGCACATAGAGATACAAATCATAAAGATTCTGGGTGCCATGCATGTCAACACTATGAAATACCACTTTCACTTTCGTCATGCATGCATGTCTCTTCATGGTACCCTGCGAAAGTATCAAACCAGGAATCCTTGAGGAGGCCATGGTCCCCGCACAAGTCAGTCACAACCTTTGGGCCCTGGCATTCGGGGTCAGGATCCACAATACCTATTATTGTGTGTGTACGTAAGTACCCGGGGCCTCAAAATTTGAAATATTTTGTTTTTGCCCAATCCAGAGCCCCTGGACCTGGAGTATTAGATGTTGTTTGGTTCCATTGTCTTTTATTTAAAAAACGGTATCAGTTCAAAGTCAAGCATTTTCTTTGATGGAGTTTGAAATGTCGTTTGGCTAATCGTTTACCAAAGAAATGTTTTTTTTTTTCGGGTTGTGTGAAATCTATCTATTGGGCAGCCGTTACAAAAAGTTAAAGAACATTTTCAATAATTTTTCTGGTTTTTCAAAAGAGATGTTGTACAAAACGTTTATTAAGCGTTTGTTGGGCATCGTTGTCATTGCTCCAGAAAACGACACAACATCAGTACCATGTTAGAAAAAACGGTTCTCTAGGAAACGGGCATTGGTTTGGAACCCATTTTCCATAAAAATGGTGCTCCAAGTCACGTCTTGGAAATCAGGAAGGCATGGTTTGGAACAACACACCGAATTTGGCATTTCTTGGAGCTGCAGCTTGTTACTGCCAACAGGGATGTGAGATGGTAGTGATGTGGCACTGGATAATGGGTGTCAATGCTGAAAACGTTTTCTTGAGCATTGGTACCAAACAGAAAAAGTTGTTGCTCCAGGAAACATCCTACCTGACAACAATGATTACAAAAAAAAAAAGACATCGTTTTCTCAGAAAATAATGCTTCCAACCCACACATCAGCACGATGCTGCATCTACAGCATYGATGCCAAACATATACTAAATAAACAATAATAAAATTAAACTGCCCCATAAAAAAGGAAAAAAATGTATAATGTATAATAATTATTTTTTGCATGAAAACATATCCTTGCATGTCAATGGGTCCACCTTGACCTGCTCTCTTCGGGTTAGGGTTGAGTTAGAGAATAAAAACCTATTCAAGTACCTCTCCTAATAGCTTAAGGGACAAATTAAATATCAAGACCCAACCCATTGAAACCTCTACGTATCTATCATGTACATATTATTGGTTTCTTCGGCCATGTGGACATATCTTTTGGCCAATTCAGACATTCATTAAACAGAGGACCCACTGAATTCGGCTCTTCCCCAACAGCCAATTTTTTTCTAAATTCTAACCCTTCTGCTGTATTCGGTTTGAACGAAAAGGTAGAAAAAGGAAGAAAAAACGTAAGGAAACCGATATAAAATTTGTATAGATTTTCCCAACTTTCCCTTCAAATCAAACACAGACTTCAAATGAAATGCCAAGCCAAAACTATCCAAGCAAGGAAATTGCTTTTCACATTCAGAACCGGCATTTGGGATATCAATTGTTCAACCAAATCTGATATATTATTGGAATAATTATGAGAACTAGGAATTCTCACAAATCACACCTCAGTACCTCATACTACATCGAGATCGAGATGGCCCAGGCCTAGATCTATGAGATGCCCCGGGCCCATATGCACATTATAGCAGGAGCCAATGTAGGGGTCTCGTCGACATACAGGTCTTGACACATAGCATCGGTCGGATGCATCCTGATCACCACACTGCCACCACTTGCTCTCAACTATTCCTCCTCTTAGTTAACTTTGATCGTAAAAAGGGACTCCTACTAGTCCCACTAGGGGTGAACATTATTCGGTTAAAACCGAATTATTGAATTGAAAATTTTGGTTTCATTTTTTCGGTTCGATTTTTGGGTAATTCGGTTTTTAACAATTTTGGTTTTTGGTTTCGATTTTCAGATTTAGAAATTCAGTTAACCGGAAAAAACTGAATTAACAAAAATTCATTATATAATATATAATATGCTATATATTTATATATTAATATCTTATACATAATGTATTATAATGAAATTAAATTTCATAATATATATATTATATGTTATAATATACAATATTATATATATAATAACTAAATTCAGTTTTTAACCAAAATAACCGAAAACTAAACAAAAAATTTTGGTTCGGTTATTTCGGTTTTATTGAAAATCTATTTTCGATTTTGGTTTTAAAAACTTCAGTTTATTCAATTTGATTTATAACCGAATAAATCTAATGCTCACCCTACCTCCTATATTAAGATAAACACATACTGAAACTCAAACTCTAAGTCTTCTCTCTTGCTTGATCCAACCCTCAGAGCCCTCTGCTAATTTGACCGTTGAAGCCCTTACCCATGGGATAACTCCCGAGGCCTCTGACATCTTCTTTCCTGGACCCGTTGCCCTAAGCTCTATATCTGGTAGCAACATATATTATATTTATAATTGAAGTTGGTCTTAATATTGTATTTTCACTAAATTGTCATATGTTCAAGTTTTATATAAGTAATTTTCAATTTATTTTGTTCATAAAATATATTATTAAAGTCATTTTTAATTCATTTTGTTAATAATATATAATATATAATATTTTGGTTATTTTTAGTCTAATTTATTTATACTATTTAATATTCGATTATAATCCGAATTCCATTCGAACCCGATATCCGAATGCTAACAAATCAAATTCGGATATGCCTATATCCGATTTGATCCGATCCGTTTGCAGCAATACCGGTCCACGGGTCTACAACCAAATCCAAAATACAGAAGTACAAAACCTGTATCCGTTAAAACCCAAACCCTCTCTAGTCCATCCTCCGTTCACCATTCTGCAATCTCCACTGCTTCGGCCTCTTCGTCGTATATTAGTAATAATGTGAAAGGATCAAAGACACATATCTTCTCTATCGGAGAATCGCCATTGTTTGCTCGGCGTACTTCGTCGAATATGGGCGTTGGAGGGAACTTCTGGGATCTGCTAAAACCCTACGCGCGCAACGAAGGTTTCGATTTCCTCCGAAACAAAAGAGTAGCAGTCGACCTCTCCTTCTGGATTGTTCAACACGAAACCGCCATTAAGGGGAATGCAAGAAATCCCCATCTCAGACTCACATTCTTTAGAACCATCAATCTCTTCTCCAAGGTTTCAAACTTTTGTCATATTTCCCCTCTTTCAACTTCGTTCATAATTTTATCTTATTTGACTGCAAGAAAAAGAATAACCTAAAATTGAAACAAAATTGTAGCTTGGAGCATTTCCAGTCTTTGTGGTCGACGGAGTTCCGTCTCCATTGAAGTCACGGGCGAGGATTGAGCGCTTCATTCGCTCTTCTGGCATCGATTTACCGAGCAGACTGAAGGCGGAAGATGGTGTCTCCGTCGAAAGGAATCGTTCTTTTACGAAATGTGTTAGAGAGTGTGTGGTAAGCTAATTTTTAGTTGTACTCTACTGCTACTCTTCTGGATGCTTTGGTATGCCATTGATATGCTGTTTGTTCCTACTCAATTGACTGTTCTTTTCAATCATCGTTTTTTCCTTTTCACTTGTTTTACCCCCTTCCATCTCAGTTATTTTTTTTCAATAGAAAATTGAAAGAAATCTTTTTGACTATTAAGAAGTTCATATTTTGAATGATTTCTTAGCTTCCAAGGCCACCACTAACGAAGGTTCTCGTTTCTCCGTCGTTTTACTTTTTGTTGTTTGTAGTCTATATTTTTCATGCAGTCTTCCAATTTTCTATGTCATCACCATGGGCCTTATGGCTGTGTTAATACTTAATATGGTTCACCAAGACAGACATTAAAAGAGAAATTGTCATAGCTGAAATGACTATGTACCAATTTGTAGAAGTTGTTGACTGAACCATATCTTGATACGTACCCATACAAAACTGAATGATCAGTATAATTTGCTGGTTCACAAGTCACAAAAAGCATAGTGGCTTGCAAACAGTATGTACAAACAGATATGGAGTTGACAAGGGCTTGGACACAGTCAAAAAGAATTACCTAAACATGGAAACAATTGCAAGAGTGTAATTGTACTTCCCAGGTACAGGTATGAATCTAATATATGTAGGATCTAGAAATGCAGTTCCTTCATGTCCTGAACTCTCAGGATATAATCCGTCCTGAAGTGGGAAAAAGAATATCATTCTGGAATTATAGTGTTTTTTACCTTTCATGGGGCCACATAATGCAGGGTAGCCCATCCCCCATACCGATAACCCCCCAACTCTGGTGACAGTGGGATTTGATCCCAAGTCTCTGCCGAACCAGTGAGAGAACTTACCAACTGAGCTACCATCAGTTGGTTATAGAACCTGAAGATCTTGAATATGCTTACCTAAATTACTTTATAACTTAATCTTGGATATATTAACTAACTAAAAGAGAACTATTAACTAGTTATAACTAATGACCTGAAAATTTAAGAACTCAAAATTTCAAGCTCAACTATTTTTTTATTAGTAATTTTCTAGCTCAACATAATTATTGTTTTCAGCAAGTTCTGACATTTTGTTTTCTGCCACCTAATGCTGGGTATGTACCCTGTGGCTTCTTCCAGTCAAGTACTTCTAACTTCAACATTCCAATATGGACATAAATATGTCACATACTGATGTGGCAGCAATTTTGAATGCTTTATTTGTTCTTCTAAACAAGGCAATGATCATATGCTATTTGTTATTTTTTTCCTGAACCTTTTCTTATTATTATGCCTCCATTTTACATGTTCGATATTTTTTAGTGTTTGTGAAGGGCATAATATCATTTTGAGCAGGCTAAAATTCCTTTCTAACAGTTAACAATTTATTTCCATTTGTTTTGATTAGGGTATACTAGTTCCATTATTTTTCCTTCTATAGTAATTTTTGAATATTTAGTCTCATTTTCTACTAGTGTTGGTGACAGGAGCTGCTTGAACTCCTAGGGATGCCAGTGCTAGAAGCAAAATCTGAAGCTGAAGGACTTTGTGCCCAACTAAATGATGAAGGCCATGTTGATGCCTGTATCACAGCTGACAGTGATGCCTTCCTTTTTGGGGCCAAATGTGTTGTAAAATGTCTCCGGCTAAACTCTAAAGTAAGCTTCACCATTTTTCAACTTTTGTTCTCATGGTTTTTGTTAGTTGTTTGTTTTGTAATGTGCCTTCAAAGCAATGCTTTAAAATGACCTGGAAGTGGAACTGCTTTTCCCTCTAGGTGATGGTGAGTGTCTCTACCCTCAGGTCATTTGGGTCAACCAGTGACATCATAAATCTTATAATAAAAATATTAAATATAAAATATAGATAAAATTGCAAAAAAATACAGTAACCTGCAAATACGGAAACCAGTGACATCCTTTTGGTATTATTGTTTCTTTGATACTGTGTCCTTTTGTTTTATTTTATTCAGTTCCATCTCTTCTTTGTGTACCATTTGTTTAACATGAACCACCTTTTTACATTGTCTCGCTTTGTTTCGTGATGACGTTTACAGACTGAATTACATTACAATTGGTTTTTCACCTCCCAGCAAGCATGAGCGTCACATTTTATGCAGGAACCTTTTGAATGCTACAACATTTCAGATATTGAAGCCGGTCTCGGGCTGAAGAGGAAGCATTTGATAGCCATCTCTCTTTTGGTTGGGAATGACCATGACTTGAATGGTGTGCCAGGGATTGGAGTTGATACAGCTCTTCGTTTTGTTCAAATGTTTTCTGAAGATGAGGTTTTGAATAGGTTTGTTTTCTTGGATGGACTCATGGACCATGTTTAGTATTTTGTTTAATGTTCTTTGGCTGGTGATACTAGTGAAGTAGTGAGCTTGATTATTTTGGGCTGCTGAATACTAACCATCCTTTTGTATCTAGTACAGGCTGCAGGAAGTAGGTAATGGGGAAACATTATTGTTTCAGGGCGGTATTGAATCTGTGGGTTGTATACCTAATTCTGTTGAAAACTCAATAAAGACAAAATCCCTTCATTGTTCCTGCTGTGGACATCCAGGCACCAAGAGAGGTCATCTGAAGGTAGCTTGCAATTATTGCAGTGTTAATAGTAATGAGAATTGCATACAGAAGATGGTTGGCTTCAAATGTGAATGCTCTTCCTGTGATAGTGTAAGTCCTTGTTTGATCTTAACCTTTGTTCATCGTTCCCCAGATTTTAGTATTGTATGTTAATCCCCTGGGATTTTGCATATTTAATTTGTTCATGTAGTTGCAACTCACTAGACATGCAGGCAGATTTAAGTTATTCATCACCTACCTCTAAAGGAATTTTGTGGGCTTTGGGTGGCAGGATCGGAAAAGTAAGGAACAGAAGAAGCACGAAAATTGGCAAATCAAAGTTTGCCAAAAAATTGCCATGGAGCAGAGCTTTCCAAATAATGAGATCATTGAACTGTATTTAAGCCACAACCACGGGAATTTGTTTGGTATGTCCTTGATTGAATAACATGATCATGTCATAAGTACTAAGTGATTCTCATTGATGTTTCTTGGGTCTATAGCTCTATAAATGCATTGCAATTTATTTTTCTGGTATAGAGAGAGGATTAGTCAGCATTAATAAGGTGAAATGGTTTATTGAATTTTGATGTAAATTCTTTTTCTTTTTCCTGAAAAGTAAATTTTAACTCTTATTCTAAGCAGCATGGTCTCCAGGGTCCTGACAGTAAGAATATCATATTTTAAAGTTGGTTCAGACTCTCCTACCAGCCACATGCTGGGTGAGAAATGGCATAACATGATGATAACTCCCCAATGCTGTGTCTGGATGGTTCATCAAAGGTTGACTCTCTAATTAGATGATGAAAATTTTTGCATGAGAATTCTCCTATCAATTTGATTTTTCAAGTAGCAAAAGATGGTGGATAAATCAGGCAAGAGAAGTGCATGCATATTGAAGCACCATACTTTGGCATTTTTAGTTAGAGGTGCAACTTTGTTGGTCCTAATTTGGGCTTTTGCGTAGGTTTCACTGGGACTATTGACTGCAGGCTGGCCCTGAACATGAAAACTGAAAACTTGTGCCTGATCTTAGGTCAAGTTGAAATTTTGTTGAGGCCTATGGTAGCCTTACCCAACCTGATTTCCATGATTGAGTCTGATGAAAGTATGAAACCTAAGTCCAGTCTGAGTCCTTATATGTATATAAAACACACCATAACTTGTATGATAAACCTGTATATGAACACATGCTCTCTCTCTCTCTCTCTCCATGTATGCATATTTTACTATTGTTTCTTAAAGGTGATTATATTAGATAAACCTACTGTTTTTTTTTTCTCTTTTCTCTTACACCTAAAGCCCGAAACCAAGCTAATCCAACCAGGTCCAAGCCTTGCCAGGCTTGCATTTAAGTTTAGGCTGGGTTGGGCTAGATCTGGCAAGGCTGGCTTGTCCTTGGTTGAGGGTCTAAACTTGTTGTTTTGGATCTTGTTGCATATATATGAAGATGTCAAGAATCAGAAAATTCTATATACTAGTGTGGAGACAAGTTACTAATAACTGCAGTAATAGGGCTTCATTCTGTTAAAATGGTCTAAAAACCTAAGAGCCATAAGAAAGTAACTATATCACTTTGAATATTTTAACAAAAAAAAAGAGGATTTTAGAACCGAGCTCACATTGTCTGTCCCCTAGGGACAGTAAATTTTCTGTCCTGCCCAATGGTTTTTGAACACGTTACACTCCCCTACATGATTTTGAAACTGACGGAGATTTGTTCTAACGGCAGTATGGATGCCAAGTTTTATCAAATTTGTTTAACCCGAGCCAACCCCTTCTTTCTATATCTCACTATTCTCTTCCCCTCCTCCCTCCCTACCGAGCTCCTTCACCCTCACTGACATCATTCTGCTATACTGTCGTCAGAGACAGAGAAGCAACTAAGCTGTTGGGATCGCCGCCCAACCCGCCCTCTCTCTCTCTCTCTCTCTCTCTCTCCTCTCTCTCTCTCAGTCTCGTTCTCATTACTCTGTTTGCCACTCCATTTCTGTCGCTGGCGATCACACTCACTGTTGTGTTGTAGTTTTCACAGGTCAGACCTGTTGGAAGAAGATTCTACCACTTTCCAATGGAAGGATAACCAGAAACATTAATGGAAAGGCTCTCCTCAAGGTAAGAGTAGACAATCGCCATGTAAAGAAAGATAAGAGAAGGATAATGATCCTCATCATCTTGCTGTTTTCGGGTAGCTCGATCTGTCTTTGTTAACTTGCTACTGATAGCTGTAACTACCCTGTTTGCTTTCTTAGCTTACTGCAACAAACCAAAATCGATTAAACCAAAAAGAAATATTGTAGAAGTAAATCCATCCTCTTTTACTTAGCAAGACCTCCAAGAAACTATAAGTGATTTCAGCGAAGATCTGGGAAGGGATTCTTTTGGAACTGTTTATAAAGGAGTCGATGTTGCAGTAAAGAAGTTAGAGTAATTCAAGAGTGCGGGCAAGAGTTCAGAACAGAAGTAGGTGTTATTGGACAGACCCACCACAAGAATCTAGTCTGATTGATGGGGTATTGCAATGAGAACAACATCAACTTCTTGTAATTCATGAGCAATGGTGCTTTAGCAAGCTTCCTTTTCCGAACTCCAAAGCCTGATTGGAACCAACGCACCCATATTGTGTTGGAGTTGCAAGAGGACTCCTGTATTTGCATGAAGAGTGCAGAACCCAAATTATCCATTGTGAAAATATACTTCTTGATGTTTTACACCAAAGATTGGCAAAGCTTCTTATGAATAACCAGAGTCGAACTCATAGAGCTATTAGGGAAACCAAAAGGTATGTTGCACCCGAGTGGTTCAGGAGTATGGCAATCACTACGAAGGTTGATGTATATAGCTCTGAGGTCTTGTTGCTCGAGATCATCTGTTGTAGGAAGAACATTCCAACAGAAACTGACGAGAATGACAATGGAGAAATTCTTACAGATTTGGCTTACAACTGCTACTGTCAAAGCAGGTTAGATATCTACTGGAGAGATTCCTGAGGGTTGCATTTTGGTGCATTCAAGAAGAGCCATCACTAAGGCTCACGATGAGGAAGGTCACACAGATGCTAGGAGTTATTAGAGTTCCTGTGCTTACATGCCCTTCTCCCTTTTGCTTGGTTTTTGAAAGCTAAAGTGGTCCTCTGTTTCTGTGACCAAATAGCCAATTTTTATCGAAATCTAAACTTTGTTTCTTTACCACTGTGTTATTATGACAATTAAATAATCAACATGGCTCTTGATTATTGATTGGCTCAGCGATACAACAATTCTTAAATCAGCCAAAGGCGAAGAGTTTAAACCAGAATAATCCTAAATACAGAGTATGTCTTCAGTCTGTAAATGGGGTTTTTGCTTCTTTTCCCTTGCTTTAGTTTATCCCACTTATCTCAAACAACTGGAAAGACAGTTACTGATATGGTCCTGATCAGTGTAGGGGCGGTGGAGGTTTCGGCTGTGTGGGGGCGGTTCGGTGTTGTGTAAGGGCGGTGGGCAGAGAGAAGAGAGAGGGAATGGGAAAAGATAAAAAGAGAAGGATGGAGCGGGTTAATTGAATTTGATTGTTTTTTGGAGTCCAGACAGTCATTAAGTCTGGACTCTATCAATTTGGAATGTAAGAGGGAGGAGAGTGGCGTGTTCGATTGCTATTGGATGGAACAGAAAAATTTCTGTTCCTATGGGGCAGACGATGTGAACTCGTTGGAACCTCATTTCTGTGAGAAAATGAGGCTCATGGTTCTTATTTGCCTCATTTCATGGGGGGGGGCAGATTGTATGACTTCTCTAGGAGGATCTGAAGACTATTGTTTATGATAAGAATTAACCTACAAGACTTTTTCTTATTAACTGACACCTCTTTCCTCATAGCTTTTGCCTTTCAGAGAGTTTCTTTCAAGGGGTGATGGGGATTGTAATCAGTCCCTTTATGCATCTTTAGGAAGTTAAGGCAACCAGTCATAAATGTCAGTTGCATAGTTATGTTAATTATTTTTCAATTAATTTATGAACAACAATGGTATTTTGTTCATTTTATATTTTCTGTGGGGCCTGACCATTGTCAAATGTCTGTCAAATCTTTGTTAAGGCCTGTATAAAGTTTTGCTAGAGTTGGATTAATGGTTAGGAGTTACTAGTATTTATTTTTTTTATTATTTTTATTTTTCATATTTCAATGAACAATGCTGCCAACCCTACAGATAACCCTATACTGCATTATCTATTACACAATTTGATAAAGGAAGTTATTGAAGCTTTTGCTTACCCTTGGTTGTGTGATGCAACAACAAACCCTGTAGGGATTCTAGGGCCCCATCTCCTTTCCTCTCTTATTCTTTCTGGATTTTCCATATCAACTTTTGAAAAGCATTCAACAGCCTTGGAATGTCAATCAATTTATTCAAGGGGGATTGATGAACTTGTCTTTAGTAAATTTCTAATTTCACCTATGCAAAATGTTAGTTTCTTGTTATTTTCCTTGGAGACAGAAGTCTCTCCTAGAAATCATAAGATTCACAGCATCCAGAAGTCCTAATTTCTAATGAGGATATCCCCTCCTAACCTAGCTCCTCCCCTTAATTTTCACCCCCTCCCACATACAGAAACTCATATCAAGTGGTTTAGAAAACCTACTATTTCTCCTGTTCTTGAAATTTCTTACATTTGTTAGAAAACCCTTTTTTCTTCTCCTAAGCACATCTCTTGAACCTCAAATCATCATGCATAACCCTTTCCAAACTTGCATTAATCTCCCCAACCCATAACCTTAGCTTATAAACCAACCCTCTTCTCAATTCTTTTTTTCAGGAATTTACTTACTACAGTGGTTCACCAATACCAGACTACCTGTTTGACGAAATTGCCTAGCCAGCCTTACATCTGCATCACGGAATGTTACATTTAGGCTCTTTTTGGTTCCTGTGAAAACATGTGAGAAAGGGAAAGATGTGCACCTTGGAAATTCAGGCATGCTTTTAGGGAAATTGATATCATTGCAAAACAATTAAATTCAAATTTCAGCTGGGTGAGAAGATCTGCAACTGGGGCTACTGATGCTCTAGCTAAACAAATTTGGTTTGGGCAAAACTGTAATTCTAGGCTGGAATTGTCCATCAATTGTACTGAATTTTATTTAATCTAATGAATTTCTTTTGCTGATCGGGGGGGGGGGGGAGTTGTGCAAAATAAATTTCATAAGATGTCTCAAGTGACTTTCCCACGATTATACTTCCACTATTTTTTTAGTAACCAAACACAGCCTTAGTTCCTTGGGAAAAATATGCTTGCAAAGTGGCAATCAGTTTATCCCCATAGGGATTTTTTAAGTAAGAACCATTTCAAACCCAAAGACTTGATGCAAGCTGACTAAGAAAAAATTTGTATTTTTTCTATGTTGCATACTCTCTGTGTGTGTGTGGTCTTCTTTCTGTGCCGAAAATGGTCCTTGTTGTGGGAAAACCTGAATATTGAAACACTAGCTGATTTTCAATTGCTAACATGTTGTGTTCTTTCTGTGCAGAAAATGGTCCTTTGTTGTGGGAAAACCCAAATATTGAAACACTAGTTGATTTCTTATGTTATCATCAGCAGTGGGACCCATCTTACATACGGCAAAAGATGCTCCCAATGTTGTCCACCATATTCTTAAGAGAGATGGCTTCAAATCCAACCAGAGATGCACTGTTATATGGACAATATGAGTTCAATTCTATTCAGCGTGTGAAGGTGAGATGTGGTCACCCCTTTTATGTGGTCAAGTGGAAGAAAGCTGCTCATGATATGGGGAGTGCCATGCATATGATTCCAACCAAACAGGTGGATTTACAGCAGGGAGAGTCAGATGTAGTGGCTGAATCTAGTGATCTACTGGATGAGCCTGATGTCCCTCAGATTCTTGTCATCGATGAATGCTGGTTTCTGTTGACAGATGAAAATATTGAGCTGGTTCGAGCAGCATTTCCTAGAAAGGTTGAAGCATTTTTGAAGGAAAAAGTAAGTTATACTTCTATCATGTTCTTCCAATTGTGTCATTCTGGCTCTGTTACAGAGATTGGTCATATTCTAATTGATTCCCTACTGTATTTGTGATGAATAAAATAAACTTGAAAGCTGAGTTTGGAAATCAGTAACCTGGAATAACTTGTCTTGACCAGTGAATCTCTTGCCGACCTTGATGTGGCAGGTCATGATTTCTTTATCAAAAAGTAAAATAAAAGCACATAATAGGATATCAAAACATAGCTCTTGACTGTGGCTGAACCTAATTAAATTGGTATTAAGGCCGAATTGCATTAATAATGGGCTATGAGAACACAAACTGTTCTAGATGATTGAACCAGCAGTGCTGATTAGTAAGAAAAAATGTACAATTGACTGCAAAGTCTGTATTAGCCTAGCCAAGTATCCATGATCCAAAATTTCGCCTACAGGACCATTCTAACCATTTCTTGTATGATATTTTTCCTCGTCGTTTATAAAAGTCTGCCTTTTCTAGTGTTCACAATATTATTATTACCTAAATCAAATAGAATTGTCAGACAAAAACGGGCTTTGGCTGTGAATGTATATGCCAAATTTGCAACAGTGTTTTAATTGAAGACTTGCACCATCTCAGATGGTTATTTTTATGTAATATTGTTGTCCTAATCCTATTAGTTTGCTAGGGCTTCTATTGTGGCATGCTGTCATCTGGCTTCTGAAAATGATGGGAAGAACTAATGAAAGCTTTCCTTCTGTTTTAGTTTTATTCAATGTCATCATTGGTCTTACATTTTTGGCTAGAATACTCCATGTATTTGAAATGCTCTTATTATGGAGTAGGAATTTGGAAATATTGAAGGCCAATATTGCTATAACTGTATGTTTCTGTTTGTTGAGGAGTTCGTACTGCTAAACCATTCTTTTGTTTCTGTCATAACTCTCTAGGAAATGAAAGAACTGAAATCACGAAGAAAGAAGTCTGCTTCGAGTTTTGTTGGAACTCAAAGGTCAGAATCTCCAAAATCAAGTGGCATCCAGCTGAGTATTACCGAGTTTTACCGTTCAACAAAATTACCAGATCAGGCGAAGCAGGCAGGAGATTCAACTGAGAACTCCGAGAAGCAATCAGAAGGGATTTCTAAAGCTAGGAGAAAGGGCTCTAGTCCAAACTTATCCAAGTCTGTCAGGCGGCGTCTTCTTTTTGATTAGGGCCATTGTTGATTGTTGTTATCCCTGAATCCATTACTTCTGTTTTCACTTATCTCAATGTAATGCGATGTTTCCCTTTTTTGTTATTGCGTTTGCCCCCATGTATGTTAAAGATGTAAATTGTATCTGTTTTCAGTCTACAATCAAGTTCTGCTTTGAGCAAAATCAAGTGAGCAGGGATGATTTGTAATTAAGAGAAATTGCGAGGGTGGAGGAGGAGATTGCCACTCTTTGTTTATAATATATGCCCTTGTTCTTTTTTCTTTTGCTGAAACCAGAGCTTTTTTTTTTGGCTCAGTGCAGGTTTCTCATTTATAAATTGCTTCTGCATTTTAGTTGGAGCAGTTACTCCATCCCGTTTTGTTTTATAGCCTAATTAAGCGAAGATGATGCTGGTCAAAAGAATTCTGTTCTCTATCCATCTGATTCTATGCGACATAAATCAAAGCAGTGGGCTCTGAAAGACTTTAGATGAAGACAGCTCTAACCTAAACGAGCAAATCTAGTGGGATTCCATTCTATAACAATTATTTCTGAGCATGAGCAGCTACTCCCCAACGACCAACTGTTCCGGTCCAGACTTGAAAAGAGTCCAAGGTTTGGCCATACTACCAAAATACCAAGTTCAGACACTTGAGCGGTCTCCAGGTTTCTTCTTTCGGGTAAACAGCTCTACCTGTTTCCAAGCTCGATGCAGTAGAAAGCATCCATCGACCATAGAAGCCGAAGCGAAGTTGCCTGCCACTGAACATTGAACATGACCACATATCTTAATTCCTAGTATTTGATATTTCGTTTTCGCATAGTAATCGATACTTTGAACCTTCAAAATTTTGTTTTCAGCTTCCCTACTTTGAACCTTTGACTCGAACTCGAATTTGAGAGCAACAGACATCGTAATTGAGGCAAAATTTTACAAAGAAATTGCACTGTATACATAGATATTTGCATCCTACATTCCTACCAAGCAAAGCAAAAGCAAGCCCAATCCCTTTTCCATTTCTGTCCCCTGTCAGAAAAAAAATAGAAGGGGGCCCACCACTATCCCACTTTATATATAAAATTATAAAGCAGACTCTTCTGTTTGCTACTGGCGCAATCATATTGAGTAACTCCATAGAGACACGTCAGCATCACTTTCCACGTCATCCCAACCTTGTAAACAGTGAGGCGGGGAGAGTAGCAACCCTTCTGCCATGTTGGTAAGCAATCCCGGCATCCCGAAAATTGCTTCCTCGTCCATGTACAACACGTTTTCCGACGACGTCGCCGTTGCATTCTCCGGCTTCACATCATCAGCGGACGACATCGCATCCGACTCCTGAGGCCGGAACGCCTCCGCAGCCTCCGCTGCCGCCTTCTGAATGTCCTTGGGGTCGGCGGAGACGGGAACGGGCAAACGCCACGCGGAATCAGCGAAGTTGAGACAAGCGGACCGCCCCCTGAGAGCCAATGCAGCGACGTCATGAGCCCTGGCAGCCATTTCCGCAGTGGGGAACGTTCCCAGCCATATCCGCGACTTCTTGTTGGGCTCCCTGACCTCGCACACCCACTTATTGGAGTTCCTTCTCCTGACGCCCCTGTAAACCGGGTGCCGAGTCTCCCGGAACTTCTTCCGACCGGCGCGCTTCTTGGGGTGGCTGGAAGCCAGCATGACCTCCTCGTCTGAGTGAGCAGCTCGACGACTAAAGGAGTCCGACATCGAGGAAGAAGAATCCGGCACGTTGAACGAGTAAGAATTTGATAGGAAAGAGTATTGATCAGAGAATCGGTGAAAGATATCCATATAAGTTGAGTTGAGCTTTTCTCTGCTTCTGGTTTAGTTGACTAAAACTTGGACTGAGGTGAGAAGTGGAAGAGATTTGACTGATATATCGAAATTGCCACAAAAGGAATGAGAAGGGGGATTTGTTTATATGGGAGGGGGGAGGGACGATGCGCAAAGGACACGAACACGGAATCTTCGGAGGCGCCAGGCTGTCTGGAGTTTGGATTTTGGGGATGACTTGTAAACAGCTGCCCGGGCCCAGCCCAGCCCAGCCATTTGAAAATTGAAACTTGAACAGTTTTTCTACACGTGTCCTCTTTTCCTTAGTACGACTTTCTTATTCTTTGCTTCTGGAATTGACGTTGAGTTGAGCCCTTTTAGTGGCAGCTTTGACTCGTGCAGCTGCAAAAGGAGACCAAATCCTCGGCGATTAATTATAAAGGAAAAAATCTATGATGCGGAAAGTATATGGTATGGAAGTCTTGTGTTGTGGATAAGGAGGGACGTGCGCGTCTTGCTCGTGTACTTGAATCCACGGCTGCTGCAAACGGATCGGATCGAATCCGATATAGGAATATCCAAATTTTAATCATTTTATTCGAATTCGAATCTTATCTTATCCATCCTATGAATATTGGATTCCAATCGGATATTCACTAGTATTAATAAAATTTATTAAGAATGATTAAAATATTTATATTATTATTTAAATGAATTAAATTTATCTTTAATATTGCATTCTTTAACTAAATGAATCCAAAATAACTTGTTTGAAACTTATAACTATGATAATTTAACAAAATTATAGCATTATTGATACATACAACATAAATTTTCGACTATGACATAGAAAAGATACCATATATAAATCCAATTTGATCCGTTTGCAGACCCACTGGTGGGACCATTTAGCATGGTTCCTCATGATCATGATCTTCTTGTCTGTTCGGGATTAAGGGTGTCAATGGACTGGTTTTGGGTTGGATTCTGTTCAAATCAAAATCAATTTGGATGGATTGGATGAACCAATAAGACATTGAATTTAGATAGATTGGACAGACCAATATGACATATTGGATTGGATCTGGTTCGATCATAGTGGATTTATAATGGATTGAGCCAATATCTGATCCATTAATAAAAGATAAGAACATAGATGTCAATGGACCAGGTTTGAGTTGGAACCAATTTAAATTAACACGAATTTAAACAAATTAGACAGTCTCTAGACCGGTCCAAAATGGTCCAAAATATTCATTGGACCAAATTAGACCAAGTCCATTTGTAATGAACTCACATTGGAGTGAATCAGATTGTACCAAATCCAGTCCAATTGACACCCCTATTCGGGACTCAAAAGAATCTCTTCAAGCTGGAAAAATAGAAAATCGTTTATTTATTGAAAAAAAGTAAGAAGTTGGGACAGCTATAATTGCCAGTACAAGTTAAAGGGTCACCACCTGTATGGTTGATTTGGATTGTGGGATTGACATTTTACGTTCTAATCTAAGTTGGTCCCCTATGTCATAGATGGGCCTAGATTGGTTAAATAAAATAATTCCTTAATAATAGGTGGGGCTGAGTGGGAACTGGGAAGGCTAAAGTTTTTGTTTTTGAGATTTGGATTGTAAAAGGTAAAATTTAGGACTGCAAATGGATTGGGTTTAATCTGATGTGAATTTAAAAATGATTCATTTAAGTAGAATTTGAATATTTGTTTAATCATAATCTAATCGAATTCGAATATTATTATCTGATTCGATCTTCTTGGATCCAATCTGATCCAATTACATATGTATATCATCTTTTTAGTATTAAAATTCTTTAGAATTAAGTAGGAATCGAGACTGGATATACTTATATTTTTTGCCTTATGTTTAATTTTATATAGGTTTATTAATATCGGATTCATTATATAGATTTATGCCTATTTGAATTCAGTTAATTGGTTTTCAGCCCTCTATTATTGAGCCAAAAAGTGTTTTGAGCATTTGATAAGAATTGCTTAAAGACATTATGATCTAAAAGCCAAAATATTTTAAAGCCCCAAAACACAAAGTTTATTTTGGACTTTAAAAGCAGAAATCCACAAATTTATCCAAATGCAACCTTAATTATTTTGTTATTGATATATAACATGAAGGATATTTCTATTTTATTTGAAGATATATTATAGGGAACTGTACTTATAATCAATGTTCAAAGTATCAAAATGTGTTATATGATATGAAAGATGGGTAATAATTATAGTGTAATGGGGGTTAACTAATATTAAAATAATATTATCGATTATCAAATATATTGATACTTTGAACCTTGCTTAAAATATTAGTAACTTATAATGTTAGTTTATACATATTAACAATTAGTTAGAAATTATCAACTTATCCACAAGTCACTTTGAAGAAAAAATTAAAAGATAAGTGGGGTAGAGAGTTTGGTGGTGGAGATGATAGCCTGATAGGAAAGCTAAGGATGGGTGGTAGGTAAGAGTGATGAATTAAAATAAAGAAATGATGGTGGGGACAAAGGCAAAGACAAAGGTGGAAGTTGAGGTGAGCGAATCAACTGTGTAGAGAGAAGTTATGGTTGAGAAAGATGGTGGGGTGGTGTGGGGGGATGGGGGGGGGGTGTGAAGGGAAGGGCAAGCAAAGAAGATGATGGTACTAATCTTGGTATCTCATTATTTTTGATGCTTGAGATTGATAGAAATTAATCGAGTGGTGGCTCAATTGRTTTGTTAGTTGGGTAGTCCCAACGGAGATGTGGATTTGAGTCCTGCTACCTGTTACCAGTTACCCTAGAGAGTTATTACTGTGTTGGATTAAAATACCAAAAAAGAACAAGATTGATAGAAGTTCTTTCATGGTTTTAGGGGAAATGCCGAAATGGTGAGGGGAAGCAATGGAGATAATGGATAAATTTGAGGTTCGGAATATCAGGTGTATCGTATCGTATTTTTTAGGTTTTGATACATTTATTTAAAGGTGTTTTTAAGAAACCTTTTTTTAATAATTAAAATACATAAAATTGGCTAGGCCAACCTGAAATTTTGAGGAAAAAAATGCAAGGTTTCAAGTATTTATTCATCCCTTCTTGTGTATAGGGTGTATTGATATTTTGAACCTTGGGTAAATTAGTAGTAGAATGATAGTTGAACATAGTTCGAAGTATGATACACCGGATAAGGTGTTTCAAGTGAATCATATACCATCTTTTTAATTTTTGGTTTTATAGGTTCATAGGGGGCTAGAATACTATTATTTAACATTTAAAAAATCATAATTCTCAGAAGCCTCAATAAGCGGAAATTGGCTTCTATCAAGGCAAATCTGTGCCCACACCGTTCTAACAGCCTTTTCCAGCCTCGCATTGGGAATATCTCCCCATGAAATAAAGTATACAAGTACAGAGATATTCTCAATACAAGGCAGTAAAAGCTACTTGAATGGGCTTTGCCATGATAGAAGCCGACCTCCAATAAGCGTTTCAATAACTTTCCAAAACCATAAGATTTGCTTGATAAGATGAAGAATTTCATATAGATACTTTGAATCTTATACGCTGTGTTTGGTTGCAGTGCAATTTTATTTGCATTAATACAAATGCATGAGATGCATGAAAAAAATACAAATTTTCATTTAATTTTATTTTGGGTTTTACTTTATAATGTTTCATGTCTTAATTTACTTCATTTGTACTGCAATCAAACAAAATAAACTAAAGTTAGAAATACAAATAGATCAGAATTTATATTCAAATCATTCGCACTACCATAATTTTGCATCAATATAAATTTATTTACGTTGCAACCAAACACAGAAAAATAGAAAGAAAAATCAGAGATGGTGGTGATGTGCATTAATTGAAATATTGGCACATCACTTGGATGGTTGACATTAATTCACTTAGAATTTTTGGAAACCTTTGTGCATTATTTGAATGGCTAAGATCAGTTGAAATCTTGGTATAGTACCTTGATGGTAGAGATTGATTGATCGATCTTGATCTTAATAGATCATGTGTTGTAGGTGTCTCTCTGTCTAGAGAGGGGGAGGAAAGTTTTTATTTTTATTGTTTTTTAACTAAAAATAGTATTTTACATGTTCATATATTACGTTTACCATGATCATATTTTTATATTATAAAATATATTAAGAAAGCATTTCTAAAAACACCTATATTTTTAAAATCCACATTATTCATGTATTAACAAGGATTTAAAAACCAACCTAGAAATAGAAATAGAACCACTTTGGTATATCAGCCGGTTAATATTTAATAAAACAATAATTAATTAAATATAAAATTGACACAAAAACCATTCTTCGGATCGAACACTTTAAGTAGTTTAGTTATATGAGTTAGCAGTTTGTTGTCTGAGTCAGTGGTTTCTTTTTTTTTGAAAATTTTGGGTTAGGTGCAAATTTAAGCAATCGATTCTTGAATTGCACGGTTCAACCATCTGGGTCAATAATGATTCGAAAAGCAACTTGGGCTGGACTTGCCTAAAATTATATTTTCATGGCTTTGGGCTCAGGCCTTTGGACCTCTCCTGTTCAAATTTTGATAAAGTAGAATTCGAATCCACTCAAGTTACACCCTTAATTTGTCAATTTTTTCATGGACCCAAACTTTAAACCCAAGACCGTTGTAATTGAACTGTAAGCCTATTTTTTAAACGAACCGGTAACTGATTTAAAAAAAAAATGTGAATCAAGCATATATATATATATTATAAATAAATATATAATAACATAGAAATACATATAATATATTATATATATATATATATATATATATATATATATATATGATTAATTGGTGATTAGTTATATTGGTTAATCGAACCAAACCGATCGATTCGGTTAAATTTCCTTGATTTGGTTCAGTTGTTCGGGTTTTCATGAGTATGTAAGTGGAATTATTTAAGAGGCGAAATATAACACGCGTATACTAAACCATGAATAAAAAGTGAAGAATGTTGAATAATTAAATCTAGAATCTACTGGAAACAGCTTGCATAGAGATGAATCGCTGCGAGGAAAAGGATTGACTGATAATTGACAGCTGCCGGAACCGTCGAAGAAAGTGGTGGTGGTGGAGAGAGGAGAAGATAAGGTCAGAGTT